ACGCATGCTCACGTGATTATTTTTTCCTTCCCTATCCCGTTCCCGTGAAAAAACGGATGAGTGGAAACGCACCTTTAGCATTTCATTAGATATTTTAATCCAATAGTTTTGTTTATTACGTTTACCGCGTTTGATAAGTTAAACTGTTAATTTGGTTAATGAAAAATTATTTTATTCATATAAATAGTCACATGATTTGTTTTGATGTTTTTAATTAGTTGAACCTTTTTTATATCTCTGAAATATTTTTATATCACACATGAGCTAAAATAAAGAAAATATATTAAAAGGTTTTTTGATCTAGAGTTCTTATTATTACTTATTATTTTATCTATTTTATTTCTTATTATTTTATCTTTTTTATTTTTTTATACTGTTTGTACGATTTTAAACTTTTTTCATTTTCTTAATAAATTTGTTCTTTATATAAATAATCTAAATAAATTTGTTCTCGTTATATACTTTAATAATTGCAATATACATTAATACATTCGTGTATTTATAAAGTTATGCGTTATTTAAAAGTTCACATGGAATAGGTTGAATAAACATTTTATTAGAAAAGATTTTTTTATAAGTTCTTACTTAAATTATCAATTTTTAAATTATCAATTTTTTATCAATTTTTAAATTATTATCAATTTTTATCAATTTTTAAATTATCAATTTTTTATAAGTTCTTACTTAAATTATCAATTTTTAAATGTTTTGAAAGGGTTTAAAGTACTCGAAACTTTTTAAACACAATTAAAAATTAAATATCTCTCCTCTAACACAATTAAATATAATTTTATACCTAAAAAAGAAGTAAACATATTGTTTTTTTTTTTGCGCATTTTATAACAATAAGTTTTAATTTTTGCGCACATGCATTTTTGCACATTCATGTACCCTCTTCCCCCTCTGCTTGTGTAATTAACAAAAGGTGTGTCTAAGGGGTATTGCTGCCCAAACTATTTCCTAGAGTGATAAGACTTATCAAAGTAGAAAAATCCACTTTAATTATTAAAGGTGATGAGGTGTTCTCAAAAGAAGCTGTTTCAATACACAAATAAAAAAGGAATTCAAAAGCAAAATATATTTACTTAAAATAATTGAAAATTATTTTATGGTAATGTAACATGTTAGTTTCATTTTTGTGCTTCTAATAGACTTTAACTTTATAGAAATCTTGTAAAGAAAATTCAATTTTAAACTGTTTTAAAGAACTTTAAAACAGTCAATTATTATCACTTTTTTATCAAAAAAGTGATAATTAAAATTTTTAGAAAAATAAATTTATTTAAACTTTAATTTAAAAACATATTTCAAATGTATATAAACAATTTTTTTCGTTTCAAATGTGCATATCCATTTTTTTTGTTTTAAATATACCATTTAAAAACATATTTCAAATGTACGTAGTCATTTAAAATTACAAATACTTGCTCTGAGCATAAAATGAATAAAAATAATAGGTGCAGTAGAAAAAAAAAAAATTTCAATTCATTATCATATTTCCAGTTTATAACTTCAAAGGCTTACTGAGCAAAAAAAAAAGATAAAAAGGTTCCTCAAAAATGTACACAACTAACACGTTTTAGTTATGAACATATTACAAATTAATATAACACTTCAAGGGCTATGTTTTAATATTTACAAAGACTTGTTCTAACTTCAAGCAGAAACAAGATTAAAAAGTTAACAAACTATAAATACTTTTTAATATAATATACAATTTTAATTTAATATACAAACTATAAATACTTTTTAAATTTATTAACATAATTTTTAACAAACAAATCTAACTCTTATATCTTAACCTCTACATCTTTTCATAAAGATGCCAAAAGGTTGTTATTATTAGCATAGGTTCTTATTGAATAGTTTCTTTTAGAGCTGAAACACCAGGCAAGGAAATATTTTTGTTATCTAGCAACTCTACACTTAGCATCTCCCCTAGAGCAATAATTACCATAAGCTCTCTGTGTCTTTTGGCAGCCACTCGCATTAAACCTATTCTTAGCTGTTAGGGTGCATGTAGTATTTATCTGGACCTAGGCATATATTGTTTGTTGTTGAATGTGCTTTTTTACCTATCAATGTGTTTTGAGTGTTAATCATTTTGTGTTCGAATTAATTTTACTGGTACAGTTGTTACATGGCAATTGCCATCCAATGTTAAGCTTTGTTTTGGCAAGAGCTGAGTATAAACAGCATCTCTATTTATTTGAAAACCTTGAATCTTAAATTGTTCTATGAATTTATTGAAATTGTTCTGTGACTTCATTGAGATTTCAACAATGGTTTTTAAAAGGATTCAGGGAAAAGCCATAAATTATTTACAAGTGCAATTTCAATCTAATCAATTTGTTTCGTTTCAATGAAAAAGATTGGCTAATAGATAATAAATTAACTCAAACTTAATTTCACATATTGTATTCGATAACTCATTCTCGACTAAGCCATAAAATTTTTTTTTTTTTTTTGTTATTCACCTCCTCAAGGCCGACAAGGCCACTACAGATAAGGAGGCTACTTAATAGTGTTATAACCCTCTCTCAACTCTATAACTCCGAAACACGAACCCTGACAAACAAGGCTGCTGCGCGGAGAAACAAGTTGAGAGCGGTACTACCAGGGACGTGTTGGAAATCGAACTTGGAACCTCTTGCTTATGAAGCGAGTGTTTTACCACTACATCACTACCACATTATTATATTATCACAACTATTTAAAAAAAACTTGTATTAAAATTACATCTAATAATTCTATACTTTTAAAAAGTTTATCAAATTTCAAATTAAGTATTTTAAAGATTCAAAGATAAAAGACATGATTAAATATGTTGAAAATACTAAATATTGTTTAGTTTAAAGAACTAGATAATAAATTAATAGGAAGCGCACATGTTCTGCATTGAGTAATGAACATCATTTATTTTGTTTTGTTTTATTTTGCATTAGAAGTTATGCTTTCATTACTTGTCATGTTTAAAGCAAGTTTCTCTAATTACTTAATTTTTTATTTTTATTTTTTTTAAACTAATTCTTAGATATTAGTAATAGTTTTAGTATTAGTAATAGTTTTTAGCTATTGGTAAAAATCAAGAGCTCTTGAACTCTTTACACTTACTAATACTTTTTCAATTTCTAATGTTGAAAATTTATATTTAAAAAGTTGTTATGTATTTAAAAATTTAGTTTATAATTTATTTTAGTTTTATTTTATGAAATAAAAATTTAGCTTATAGTATGCTGTTTTCGTAGAGATTTTTTGGTAAAAACTGTTGTAGCAAAGGAATTCAGTTATTGTTTTAGCCATTTTAAAATCTTTGATATTTTTATTTAATAAGTATAGTTTATAAAATAAAATATCAATATCAATAAAATTGATAAAGTGAATCATTAATTTCAAAATGGTTAAAACAGCAACTGATTATTAATGCATATTTTATAAATAATCTATAATTAATAATTTGTAATCCAACATATACATTTTAAGATATTAAAATCTTCAATTTAAACATTTTTTATTTGGTGATGATAATGGTTTAGTAATTAACAGTGAATAGTTACTTTTACAATCAAATAATACAGCTTTTAAAAAAAGTTGTAACTTTGACATGCTACATGGACTTTTATGATATTTTTTACTTTAATAGTTTACAGTAAAAATTAATTTTATGGTTACCCAACAATTTTTCTATCGCATTTTAATTAAGTTAATTTTAATTTAAGTTTTTTTTTTAATTTTTGATCTTTTTTTATTTTGAATGCGAAAAAATACTCTACATTTGTTTGTCTAGTAATTAGGGATGCACATAAAGGCTGTATTTTTTTCAGATAGTGGTTTGTTTTATTTTAACTTTCCCATTTACATAAAAAGCAGAAAAAATTTAGTATAACCCAGCTGAAATGTGAATGAAGTATTTATGCGGTAGTGGTGTAGTGGTAAAGAGCTTGCCTTATAAGTAAGAAGTTTCAAGTTTGATCGCATCTATGTCCCTGGTAGCTCCATACTTAACCTGTTTCTTTGTGCAGCGATCTTTTTTTTTTTAAAAAAAAATGTAGATTAAAATTAAAAGTTAATAGAACCTTTTACTAATTTTGATATCAAGCTAAATTCAATTTAAATAAAATATTCCTATTTTAATCAAACTCAAAAAAATTTTTTTTTTTTACATAAGTTTAAAAAAATTTTAAAAAAAATTTTACTAAAAAGAACTTTATTATACTTTAAAAGTCGACTACCTCCTCGACTACAGTCGAGGAAGCTACTCATTTTTGTTGTTGTTGTTGTTGTTGTTGTTGTTGTTGTTGTTGTTGTTGTTGTTGTAAATCGTGGTACAACCCTCTCTCAACTCCGAAACATGAACCTTGGCAAGCAAGACCTCTGCGCGGAGAAATTAAGTTGAGCGCGGTACTTCTAGGGATGTGGTGGGAGTTGAACTCCGAACCGCTCGCTTACAAAGCGAGCGCTCAAGCGAGCGCTCATTTAAAATAACATGACAAATAACATATTAAAATAAAATTAATATGTTAATTCTCATATGTTATTTTACATATATTTTCATGTTTTACTAAATATTTTAAATATGGTTGAAAAATTTCTGTTAAAATCAATAAAAAAAATTTTTCAAAAAAAAAGACTAAAATTTCTCAAAAGTTTTATAACACAAAATTATTTATAAAATGCTAAAGATGACATCTTTGAAAATAAACAATTTTGAGAATAAACAACTTTGAAAATAAATTATTTTAAACTAATTACTGTACAGTTATTTAATTATAGACATGAGAGTAAAAGAGTCAAAACAAATTTATTTCAATATATCTGATTTTATTAAATATAATGTCATTTAAAATGTTAAAAATTGAATTATTTAACTGTCTAACAATAATATTAATTGCAAGTAAAGAATTATAGAAGTAAGAAGAAAAAGAAGTTTCGAAACTTTGTTTTGAAACTTCTTTTTCTTTAATATATTATTTAATTTTTTGAAATTTTGGATTTGTTAGTGACTCAAGTGTTGCTGATCATGACGAACAAGAAGTTGAAATAGAAGATTCTGATAATGAAGAAGTTGGAGAAAAAAATAAAGATGCCACTAATTGTAAACTGCTTTCATTTAGTTTAAATTGCATATGTGTGTGTATTTTTTTGTATTGTTTCATTTTTGTTACATGGTAAAACTTTTTTAAAACATATACTATTTATTATGATGAACAAATCCAACTTTTTTAAACCCTTGTGTGCACAACCGGGTACCCGGGTGCTGACTGCAACACATTTTCTAATGTAAATAAGTTAGTAGATAATATTTTACTTTCAGCTTTTAGATATGCATTATATGGCTTAAATTTAACATATTTAAAATAATTAAGTTTGAAATGAACATGCTTTATGGACGCAACTGTGTATCCTGGTACCCGCAATAAGAAATCTTAGGATTGGTTGAACTTAGAAACTCAGTTATCAATTTGCTTCATTTTTCTAAATAAAATATAAAGTTTATAAAAAAAGTTAACAAAAAAAACAATCATATATTAGATTCAACACATTTAACAAAACCAAATGAATGTTTGTCACACACAGGATTATTGCATTGAGAGCAACTCTTTCTTATTTTTCTTCTCTTTGTTTGCTGTTGGTAACAAATATGGCAAGAACCAGTAATATTATTTCTTCCATTAAAGCCAGTAAAACATACTAGAAATATAGAAAAATTTATTATTTTATAAAAAAATTTATAGATATTAAGTTCAAGTCTAATGTTACACAAACTTTAAAAAGATTTTAAAGTTTGAGATAACTTCCAGGTAGATTGTACTCTGAACTTAAGTCTATTTATACTGCTATTTAAGAGGATGCATTTCTAAAAATTATTTTGGTAAGATGACAATTATGTAATTATCCAAAATGTGACTGGATTTTATTTTTAATGTCCAGTTAAAAGCAGAAGTTTTAATAACATTTCAAACAGTCGTAATTAAAGTTATATAAAATATAATAGTTATAAATAGTATGAAAATAATCAATGGAAATGTCAACTGTTGAATTAGATCTGCATGTTATGTTCCTAAATAGCACTATCGATTTATTGATCTATTGATTTTAGTAAATGATAGTTAAATTTTAACTTATTTATAATAATTTAATTTTTAGCTGGTAGTAGTTCTTCCAGAAGTAGCAGCGAAAGCAGTAACGAAGATGAAGTGAAACGACCAGTAAAAAAAGATAATAGGGTAAATCTCATCATAATCTATTTATTATTGACACTAATATCAATTATTACAATCAGCATTTTAACATTTTTATAATTATTAAGGTGTGGGAAGACAATCCAGATATATATGGGATACGGCGATCAAGCAGACAAAAAAAAGAACCACAGCGTCTAAATGTAATGGTTAGTATTATTTTTTAAAAAAATCAATTTTTAACTAGGCTTGAATTTATTTGTTAAAATTTTTTTCAGTCAGATGACAGTGGATCTGATTATGATAAAAAAAAAAAGAAAAAGAAATCAGACAAGTAATCATTTTTTATGTTATTTTTATGAATTTTAATTTTTGTTTAATTTTGATTATAGCACAAAAATATACTATTATAGTTATTATTATTGCAGCTATTATTTTATCATCAATATTATTTAGACCTTTTACTTGTGTATCTTACATATTTATATTTAATTGACTATAAAATTCTTTTTTCTCATATTTTTACCTCTTATCTGAGATTAAATTTTTTTATTAAAAAATTTTATGTTTTGTAATTCTTATTAAAATGCGTGTTAAGATGTGTGTGCTAATTTTTTTTATACTTATGAAAATAAAATCATAACAGTGTTGGTTAATCATGGCATGGCTTGATTAAATTAAACTTGAATTAAATTAAGCTCAACAGCTTTTGGTAAAAAAAGACTTTGTTTACATTTTTATCATTAGGTCATGTGATGACTCACTCTACATGCATGTAAGAACCTATTTTCTAGATGCCTATAGGGTATCTATATGCATTGTTTCTAGTTCTATTAGGCCAAGAGTGTGTGTGTGTGTGTGTGCGAATGTGTGTGTTTGTGTGTGTGTGTATATTTATATATATGTAAAAAGCTTATTTAATATAATTAACTGTTCTATTTTTCAATTAACAACTGTTTTTCAATTTTGGTTGAAATATAGCAATGCTCCCCTTTTTCCTAAGTGGTAAATAATTAAAATGTTTGTTTTTTATTAACTGAAATGGTAGTTTTGCAATCAGTCTTTTGGTATCAAATGACTTATAGTTTGCAAAGCAAATTAGTTTGTCACTAATTTGCTTTGCATTTTTTTGCAATAGTTATCAAAATTTTGACACAAGTCTCTTGTTGATATAGCACAAATAACATTTAATTAAAAATTAAAAATTTTAAATTCATTAAAAACTAATTTTGTTTGTGTTTCTTTATTATTAAATTTTTAAATTTTATTAAAAACTTTTAAAGTCTATTACAAACCTTTTTTTTTTTTCAAAAAAAGAACTTACTAATAGCTAATAAAATGAAAAATTAGTTTTAGTTTGAATTGAACCTGTCATTTCGAAATGGTCACAAGTCCAAAATTTTTAACAGTTAGTTTATAAATTTAAATTAAAAATTTATGTATGATTTATGTTTTTTTTATAAAAAATAAAAGTTACATAAGTTAGATACGTTCTTTATTTATCTACTTCTATGTTTAGTTTCTTTACCAGTGTAGACATTATTTTAATAAAAATCATGTTTTTGTTGATTTTGAAAAGTTTTAATAAATGGACTTATACCCTTTTCGAAATGACAGGTTCAATTATTTACGGGTGCAGAATTTTTTGAAATATAATTTATAGATTTTTCACAATTTGTTATTTATATAAAGAGTATATAGTTGTTGTTTCTCTAATATAGCTGTTGTTTCTTTTTTATAGCTGGGTCCCAACTCTAAGTGGTAGCGAAAGTGTTGAATCAGATTCAAGTTATGAAATTCCTCAAAGGACTATGCACAAAAAAAGAAATATTGCTCAGATAAAACAGAAGTGTAAGCGTGTTCAATATGCTGATTCTGATTCTGATGATTTTGGCAAAAAAAGAGTTAAAAACAAACGAGAATTTAAAAAAACGAATGCGCGATTGTCATCAAATAAAGTGAGGTATGCATAGATTTTGCATTAGTTATTATCAGATTTTAAATTTAAATTACTATTTTGTATAGTTTATTAAAAAAGAATCCAAAAATTCTATATGTATGTATATGTATGTATGTTTATATATATATATATATATATATATATATATATATATATATATATATATATATATATATATATATATATATATATATATATATATATATATATATATATATATATATATATCAGGCCTAAACTGGAATGGCGTGCGATTACACGCTGTAACTGGGCATGCTTATAATTTTTTTTCTTTTCAATTTGACCATGCATAGTGGTCCAGTACCATGTCATAAATACAAAAACATACTTTATAATAAAAACAATTTAAAAATTGAATTATATATAGTATGTGAAAATCAGATTTAAATTTTTAAGGTTATAAAGAAAAAAATTGTTTGAGGAGGGTTTGAAGTTCAAAAATTGACAGAAAATTAAATTTTTTTGGGCAAAAATCAGTCTGCAAACTTTTATACATTCTCACTCCTACCAATGTCACAGATATACCAATTTTTTAAAATATTCTTATAAAATATGGAGGATCAATATTAAATAATTTAAAATATAAAATTTCATAAAAAAGACACAATTTACCGCATGTTTAACACTTTTTTCTTTTAAATTGTTTGAAAATAAAACTTTGAACAATCAGGAAAATTTAAAGATCTCTCAACAAGGTCTAAGAAAAGAAGATCTTCAGAGATTACTAAAAAGTTAGGAGTTACTACTGAAAGCCTATTTCATGCCCTTATCTTTAATCTAAATAAAGAAGGACGAAATAAAGATGCCAAAGTTTTAAAAAAAATGATGGAAAGTAAAGTTGATGGATCCTGCAATGTATCATGCTCTAAATCTACTCAGCTAAAAAAGCTTTAGCTTTAATGTTAGACTGTAGAATAAGTAGGGCTGGCTATCAAACTATCCATCAAGCGGCCTTAGATAAAGGTTGCATGTTATACCCTGCCTACAACTTTATTGTGAAATCTAAAAGTGATTGTGTTCCAGATTCCGCAATTGTTACCATAAACTACAGTGCTTCTGTAAATCTTCAAGGAATAATGGATCACACTACAAACAGGATTTGGAAAGTTATTGATAAATCAAAACTACCTGAGCCTTACAATACTCTTTTTCTTATAAGCAAAGTCAGATTCGATGGTTCAACTGGACAGTCTGTTTATAAACAGAGAACTGAAGATGAAGAGGACAGATTGTCATTCTCAGTTGAAGAATCTTTGTTTTTTTCATGTACAGTACCTGTGCAACTTAAAGTTCAGGAAACTAATGTTATTCTTTGGACTAACCCCAAAACATCCTCAACCCAATATTGTCGCCCTGTTCGAATGCAATACGTTAAAGATAATCAGCAAATTGTTAAAGCAGAATATAATTTTTTTATGTCAACTGAACTCAGAACAACAACCATAGACTTATTTCAAGTCAAGCACAAGTTAGAATGCAGGCCTTGTTTTAAAGCGTTACGCCTAGAGCGATTTACGTACGCCTTAAGCGCTTTTTACGTACGCGTAGAGCTGTTTTGGTTAAACTACTTTTTATCATTTTTTAACTTTTAAATTAGCGGTAACATAAAAGAAGTGATTAATTTTCAAAAAAACCACATTAACTTTTAAATAACGATATGTAAAGGTATTTATTAAAAAAAAGAATTTACTTTAAAATTAATTGTTGTAACTTTTCATCGCGATATATTTTTCCTTTTTATAGAAATTAATTTGACGCTAAATTTTTTATCCAAACATGAAAAATTGTTTGTCAATCCTTAACTACAAATTTTTTGCAATGTTTTTAATAAAAAGTAGTAAAGTTTTTAGTAAAAAACTTTTAAAAAATCTATATTCCATATTTATTAATACAGAATATAAAAGTTTTTTGTAATATAGATTTTTTATAAATTTTTTACTGAATTTATAATAAAAAACATTTGCAAAAAAATTTGTAATTAAGAATTGACATTTTTTTAAATAAAATCTCAAAAAATGTCTTAATATTTTTGTTATCATGATAACAAAAATATCAAGACATTTTTTCGAGATTTTTTCGTTAAAAAAAATGTCTTTGCTTTTCTTATTAGTTTAATAGTATATAGCTTATAGTTAGTTTAATAGTATATAGCTTTTCTTATTAGTTTATTAGTATATAGTTTAAGTTATGCGGGGGGAGGGGGTCGGCACAGAAAAAAAAATTACCTGTTACTCGCAATATTTGAATGAAGACAATTTGTTAGAATTCTTCTGCGTGTGATTCAATAAGTTTTTTTTGTCATAAATCAAGTTATAATATAAGGTAAAGAAATCATGAGTAGACTACAACATCCGCTGATGACACTAATATTATGTTGAATATATTTATATAATGGAGGTTTTATTATGCACGCGCACATTACAGGTTCCGTTAAATAAATACTAAGGCACGTTTTAGTTTAATGACAGTTTCCATTTTTTTACTAATGAATATGTATTTTTCTTTATAAAACAAAACAAACTAGTATATAAAAACCTTGTATATTTCTATTATCTCTAAATTATTTAAAGTTCGAATATGGATTGTATTTTGAAGGACAAAAGATTTACTTTAAAAACTTTTAAATCTTGGGACTTTGCAGATGCTTTGCCGATGCGATGATCACAGAAAAAGAGAAGACTTACGTTATTAAAATCAAATGTAAGTTATGTGATCTTCATCAAAATAAAATATTATCCAAAAACAATAGTGCCGTAAGGGCAACTGCCCAACGGTTTATAAATAATACAAGTCATGTTAAAATATTTTAACATGTTACTATATTTTAATTAAGTTGATATATAATTAAAAATAAAAATATAGTTCAATAAATAAATTAAATTTATTCTTAACAAAGATTAGCTCATATTTATTCTTTTTTTTATTTTATCAAGTTAAATTGCTTACAAACGAAAAAAAAAAAAAGAGTTTTGTAACTATACGTAGAATGAAAATACTTTTGAGTTTGTTTATAAGTTAAGGAACTTAATTTTTAATAAACAAATCTTTACGAACGTTTATTATAAACAGATACGATTCAAATTATTAAATATACTTAAATTATTTCAGTTGAGTATTTTTATAAGTTTGCACGATTAAAGTTTGGCGTTCAAGTATTTGTTTTTTTGTTTTGAGAATAATTAATAAAAGAGTTTGCATAATTAAGACTTTTATATTTAATTTAATATTTTTTTTAATTTCCTAAAATTAAAAAAAAAAAAAAGATTTAATCGTTGAAAACGATTTTTCTCTATAGCTCTGTTTCTTTGTGATTTGTTTAAAAAGTTAAATATTTTTACAATAACATAAAAAGTTTATGAATTAAATTCCTAGCGAACGCGTTCTAAACTACGTATTAAAAATACGCTTCAAAGCAGACAAAACTTTTTTATATTTTTATAAAACGCAAGTTGAAACGCTTTTAAAAATTTAAAAAATATTTAAAAACTTAAATTTTTCTTTGCTAGTCAAAACAAAATCGTTGTTTAAATAATTAACATGGGTTTGTGTTTATCAATGTTAATATTTTTTGTTTACTCTAGAAATTTTTAAAAATAAAAAAAATCATTATTATTTTTTATTCAATAACGATTAAAAACAATTATTCAAAAACAAATTTCAGAAATAATTAATATATATATATATATATATATTTTTTACTAAATAATATTGAACTAAAATTAATAATAAAATAACAATTGAAAACATTACAAAATTTTCATAATAAATTTATATTTAAAACGTTTATAGTTTATATTTGAGTTAATTGTTAAATTGAATTAGTTTGCGGTTATTTATTTATTGCGGTAGTTTAAAACACTTAACGTCTATAAAAAAAAATAAAGATAATTTTATGACGTCAAAATTGCGTTAAGCTAATGCATTAAGCACTTTTTTATTTAAAACAAGGCCTGAGAATGTACTATGATTGACGGAAAAGTTTCCACTCTTCTTTCTCCATTAACTGATTCTTATCAAGTTTGCAATATATGTGGATTAAATCCTAAAAAAATGAATGACTTTGTAATTGCTTATAATAAACAACCTAATCAGATGTCTTTGGACTTGGGAATCCACACTCTCCATCTCTGGATTCGTCGTTTTGAATGTCTGTTACATATTGGACAGAGAAGAAGACCAGGGTACAATGATCGTGGATTTTTTCATGGAAACACTCCTGAAAAGAAAAATATAGTTGCAAGTAGAAAAAAAGAAATTTAGGAAAAAATCAAAGATACACTTGGACTTGCTGTTGATCTACCAAGAGGTGGTGGCTCTGGTACATCTAATGATGGAAACACAGCAAGAAGGGCATTTAAAAGCCATAAAACTTTTGCTGAAATACTTGGAGTTGATAAGGGTCTTGTTAAAAGATTTTTCATTATCCTTTGTGTGTTGTCCTGTAAACACCCAATTGATCCTGATAAACTAGAATTATATTGCAAAGAAACATTTAAGACATATGTAGCCCATTTTAAATGGTATCCTATGCCTGTTGGAGTTCACAAATTATTGTACATTCACACCAGGTTGTAAGAGACAAGCCAGTTCTAATTGGCCTCTTATCTGAAGAAGCCCAGGAAGGTAGAAATAAAGATGTTAAAAATTTTCAAGAACATTTTACAAGAAAATTTTCTAGAAAACTTACAAATGAAGATGTAATGAGAAGATTGCTCTGCTCATCAGACCCCTTTATCACTTCTATGAGGCAAAGTTCAGAATCAAAAAAGGAACTTGAACTTCCAGCAGAATGTTTAGGCCTTCTTTTGAAACTTTCTAAATATTATATTCTTTATATCAAACTAATTGAATTATTGATAGTATATGTCCTAAATATATTTACTTTATTTTAAGAAATCTATAAAGCTGCATTTTTAAAATAGCACCTTTTTTCTAGTAGTATGCACACATGTTTAAACATGTTTCATTGATGTTTTTTAAAA